TTGAATAAAAACTTTAAAAAAATATCAAACTATTTAAAGTTGGTATGTTCAATTTGTTTGTACAGCCCATTTTGAGCAATTTACTGACCAATTTGTAATTTATGCAATTATTTCACTGGCCGGTCTGTAACTTTTGCAATAGTTTTCAAGTGATGTATTTTTTAGATTCTATGATTTCTTTAAGCATATTTGCATGTTATAATTATAACTTGACTCCAAATTTTATTCTCTAAAAATAAGAGAATAATATAAAAATCTTCAGGCTGTACAATAAACGAGTCTGGTCAATCGCAACAGATTTCCTTTAAAAAAATTTAGGTTTTCTATTTTCGTATAGTTGTTTGATCACTGTTAAAAATTTTAATTATGGAAACAGCATACATTTAAGAAGATTAAAAGACTGCACTGCATGTGAAGCTGGTATGTATTGTGCTGGTGTTGACTAGACAGCGCCAACAGGAGAAGGTGATGCTGGTTTTTTTTACAAAGAAACTTCATTTAGGTTGGTGTTTATTATTTAAAATTTTAATATAATGTTTATATTGTTAAAATAAGGTTTTTGTTTGATACCATATGTAAGTAAGTGCAGAGAATAGATACATATTAGAGTAGACAATTGTATTAGAGAGACAACTAATGTATCTAATTTTTTTCAGTAGACCTAAGATAAAATAATGATATACAAGAACACTTTTTGATTGGGATTTTTTGCCACAGTCTTTATTTTAATTCCAAAAATCACGAAATTACAAGTCAATTATTTTGAACAAAATTTTATAAACAAGGCATTTCCTGAGACAATCAAGTCTTGATGATATTCTTTTTGGATTTTGCAAGTAAAAATCTATTGAGGTAGCAAAGTTTAGGAATTTTCCCCAAGCCTCTATGAAGATAATAAAAGTCAAAGTTGCTTTGTATTGGCTTCAGATAATCACTAACATGCTGAATCAGCATTATTTTAACTGACGATATTTCTGAAACCCACCTGTATTTTTAACTAAGGTATTTGCAGTTATTATTTACTTAATATAGACTGCAACTGAGGTAAAGTTCTGAAAGGGTGTCATGGTCTGGATGAGTTTATAAAGTCATAAGCTTATATACTAATATGCTTGTGTAAATAATCATTTTGGCAACATGACTAGGTCAATAACTGTAGGTTTCACACCTTGTCTGGGTGGGTTTTATTGTGAAGGAAAGTAACTGACTAAACCTACAGTTTTATGTTATGGTGACTCTTTTTCTTTGTTAGGAGCAAAAACATTAAAACAAAATTATGAATATTATTATTGCTTATTATTGGGCTGCACACGTTCCATGTTTTAACAATATTTTTTTCGTTATTATGTTATGGTTTTATTCAATTCTTTTTAATGATTTCATATAACGAAGTTATAAAAATGTCTACTTTTTTTTGCATTTATATATCTAGCTAATCTAGAATTTATTTGTTTATTACTAATTATTATTGATGATGTACATTTCAGTATAAACTTAGGATAAACACATTTATAACAAGGGGTCGTCCATAAAGTATGTACGGCAAAAATTTTGAGGTTTGACCCTCCCCCTGTTGCAATGCACACTTTCAAGATTGTCTCCCCCCTAAATAGTACGTATGTTTTTAAATACCCCCCCCCCTCCCTACTAAAAATTAAAAATAGTAATTGGAGTGAGATTTGTTTAAAGTATGATATAAAATGAGGTTTGGCAATAAATCTAAGAATACTTTGAGGTGCCAAATAAATATATCTGCTCGTTTATTTATAATTTAATTTAATGTAATATTATGCTATTATCTACACAGGCGAATCCATAGGGTGTGGGGCGATGGGGCAATCACCCTCCATAGATGGTTAAAATTTTAAAAAAATTTTTTAAGTTTAAATTTTCAAAATTAAATAAAATTTTAATTTTTTGTTATGTTGTGTGAATTTTAAACTGTGTGATTGCTAGGGTAAAAGTCATTAAACCTGGAAATCGCTCTTCCTCTCATTACAAGATGATCCGTATTCACCATATAAAAAGAAATTAAATTCGTTCTCTCCCCTCGAACTACATATTTTGGATCTGCCCTTGATTATATACAGCTATTATACATTATACAGCTATGTATATTATACAGCTATTATATGTAACTAGCAGTAAGCAACCCGTAATGCGCGTTGTTAGTAAATAAAATTTAAAAAAAAAACGCGTATAGAAAAGCCTAGAAACTACTTTAAAATAGAAAAGCTTTGAAAATAACGTAACTCGACTAATAATAATGCTATTAAATTAGCGTATTCATGTTATCAGATATTAGCGCAATATTATATACAGCTAGTCCTGTATAATTTAAGAGTTATTAGCCTAAACAGGGGCTCAGAAAGATTCCAGAACCTAAGTTTCAGAACCCCAGCTTATGGGGTTCTAGAACCCTAATGTTTTCAAAAGCCCATTTTGCAATAGAGGTTCCAGAACCAGTTCTCTGGAACCCCTTACAGTCAGAGTTCCAGAACACCCCGGGTTCTAGAACCCCGAATAAAGGTCGGAGTTCTAATCCCTGCTTTAAAACTATTTGGAAAAAACTTCAATTAAATTAAATTGCCGGTATTTTTTATAGTTAAAAATTAATTTCTTTAAGTCTGACGATCTGGTCGATGAGTTGAAGATACCTGCAAAGTACAGTCCACAAATTTTTTTCAATTCAACACAAATGGCGTTCGCAGTAGATCAGGATGCGAAATGATTAGCACAGATTTACGGACAATTAAAGAGGTTTTATGCGTTATTGTTAGCATTTACTATTTGTTAGATCTATCGTATCCATCTTCTTTTTCACAACTGATGGGCCTTTTACAGGAGATGTTGCTAAATGAAAGCTTTGAAAAAAAATCAAAGAAGATTTTCTCTTGTATTAAACAGTTAACTTGATATTTTGAATGCGATTACTAGTTATTAACTTTTATATTTTATAAATTGTTTTATTTTATATTTTTAATTTGTTGTTATAACAACAATAAGTATACTTATTGTTGTTACTTATAATTTTATATTTATGTGGTTACTTTAAAAAAAGTTGGGAAATAAAGCTTTCTTTGAAGTAATAAAAATAGTAAACTGATTTTGTAAAGTTGTATCTTTTGACATGTATTTAAAAATATAAAAACTAATCCTTGCTTTAAGTAGTTACATAAATTACCAGATTTATTAGTAGATCATTGAAATGGTTTATGTTGTTTTATTTACAATTATGTTAAAATGAATTTATTTCGTCATTGTTTAAATTAAAAATATTTTATAGTATGTATTTTATGCCTCACTAGTAATAATAGCATTGAAAGATTGGTAAATACATCAGATAATTGGTATTAATTATATAATTTAGTTTATTATTGAATTAGTTTTATACTTGAATAAAAACAAAACATATAAAAAATATATATATATCATTTTTGAAAAAAATAACAGCATAATAACACCATAATGACACAAAACAACGCCATTTCTGCTGTTATATTTTTGTTAAAGAAAACAGCAAAATTTTTTAGTGTGTATCTTTAGACCAGTCAAAAACCTTAAATTTCATGCCAATGAAAACAAAGATTTTATTTTTTCAAAGGTATTTTGTCAGTTTTTTGAACAACAAAACTACAAGCTTGATTCTTTAAACTATTTTTTTCAAAACAAAAATATAAAAATAGTAATTAACAAAAGTTCACAAAAATGAAAATTTGTAAGAAAATGTTTTTATTTTGGTTAAAGTAATATGAACTCTAATAATAAATTACTCTCTACTTTTAAGCTGTAAAATTAACAATAATCTGCATAAAATGGCGATTCCATATATAATTCTAAAAAACAAGTCTTACTGTGGTAGACATAAATTTTTTAAATTAGGAACAATGTATCACAATAATATTGCTTTTTAATAATTTTATTATTTGAAACCAAACTTTATTGATCCAACCTTTATTATGCTTTGTGGCAAGTCACTTAAATTAAGTTTACTTATAATTTTAGCATCCAAAATATTGTCAGATACAGCTTTTTTCTATCTTGGAGAATGTTTTGGATTGCTTTCTTTAATAAATAATGATCCTTTATTTTATTATAGTTTATATAATATTTACAGTAGGACGTAAAAAATAATGACCATGTGTAGTTATATTTATTCAACCATGTGTAGTTATATTTATCTTTTTCTTAACAAATATGTAAAAAGTGGCTATTGGTTAAGATAGAAGGAAACTGGGGGGAGGGGGTAAATAGACCAAACTCCCTATCGCATCGTTTTTGAATGGATATACTTACTTTTTTAATAGTAATTATCTTTTACGCATTGTGAAATTTTATTAAGTTTACTACATAACTTAACTAAACTATAAAAAGAGTTATGTTTTTAAATTGATTTATAATAATTGTTTTTCTTTTAAGTTTGGTAAATATATGCCATTTTTTGTATTTTGGTAGGAAGTGCTCCAATAGGGTAAAAAGAACTTAAAACCTAGTTAATAATGTTTTGTAATACTTAGATTAGTATATAACTTGCATTATGCGGTTTGTTGCAGTTTAGAGATAAAACATTTTCCTTCAAATATATTAATATTTTTAATTGCACACTTTAACATGGGCGAAAACACAGTCTTTTAGTGTTTAATATAGCTAATGGTCGTTGTCCTGGATCTGTCCAATTACCATACGATGCTATTTAAACCAGAAGTTCATTTCAAACTGCTCGTCTTGTCGCAAATCTAGAACGCGCAATAATTCAATAGTTACCAGTTAGAATGCAAGGTCAAGAAATACAACCAGTAACAGCTTACGGAGATTTTTGGTGCGTTTGAGATTATTTCTTACCCACCACTCAGCGAGCTTTACCTGAAAGATTGATGCAAGGTGTTGATGTTTGGAAAATCCAAATAGTAGCTACAATTCGAAAGTAAAAGCGTTGGAATTACATCAATACACCGTTTAATCGTGTAATCCGACGTTTTTCTCAAACAAAAACATTTAAACGTAAATCTGGTGGTCAGAGAAAGAACGGTTTTAATGATAAAAAACTAGTTAGAAAACCGGTTAACTGTTTTAAGACTAACCCAAGACTTTCATTAAGGGAGCGCGCAAACATTTATAAACTTTCTTATAGTTTTGTTGTAAAAGTATGAAATAAACATGATTTTCATTCTTTCAAAGCACAAAAAGTGCTCAACCGATGTGTGAAGTGCTGAAACATAAAAAAAAGTGCGAAAACCCGTTGCAGAAAGTTTTATGACAATTTTACTTCTAAATTTTTGTAAGATTGAAGACGATAAAACTTATATCAAGTAAGATCATCGCAACTTCCTGGTGTCGTCTGTTATATTGCCTAATGTGTTCCAGCCAAATTTAGCTTAGATTCATTATTGTAAACTAACTTTGGAATGGTATAAAAATTTGAATGTCAAATTTGTGCCTAAAACAGAAAATCCTCTAAACTTCCCAGAATTGAGAGTTATTAAAACGTACTAGGCCATTATTCAAAGAAAAATGAAAGAAACAAAAAAAACTTTGCAGAAATTTTAAAGATATTAAAATATCATTTAAAAAAGCATCAAATGGCTTCAATTCTAAAATTTTAAAAAATTCATAAAGTTTTATACAAATATATTGTTTATTAAAGTATTCAATTGTTATATTATCTTCACGAAGGGTTGGTGTTTGTCCTTATAAACATTATTGTGCTTGCATTAAAAAAAAACTAATTACTTAATACTTTTAGGTCTTAATACTAGAGTTAATTGAAGTGCGACTGTTTTATTTGTATTATTAAACGTACCAATAGCACAAAATTGGCAACTCAAAAATGGCCTCTTTTAAATGTTCAACAAACATCCAAACAATCAAAAGACAATCGGAAGACGTTTAAAACAAGTTAATTTAAACAAAATTAACGTAAACAAACTAATTTCTTTTTACTAAACTAAATTCTTATTTTTACATAAATTAATACAAAATAATATCTTAAGAGAAAAGAAGTTTTTGGTGTTTAAGAAAGCAAACTTCCAGTCGTGGAACAAACTCCAAATAATTGTATGTTTATACTTTTGCCAAGTAATGATGCTTTAAAAAACCTGCAATAATTGGAGCCTGGGAACAAATAAACCCCAAAACATTGTCACCTCTCCCCTCTCATCCACTCCACCCGAACGTATGGGCATCAAGTTGATAAAATATTTTTTGTATTATTCACAGCTAGAATTCATTGCATCAATAAATTTCAAACTTCATATTGTTTTCTAAGCATTCTTAAGTTATTGCCATACATAGTGTAAAGATATGACCAAATAAAGTTTAACCTCAAATTAAGGGGTATACAATTTTTTTTGGTCATATACAACAACACAATGAAAAGTACTAATTAATTAACTCAATGAAGCAGAGAACTTTACAGACATTATCATATATAAAATCGTTTGAGAAAATTGTTTTAGGGGGTACGGTTACAAAATTATTGCAAAATATTGTAAACAGAACGAGTTTAAGGGTCAATTGAATGACACGATTTGGCGTCACTAGTGTGATCTTTTCAGCTTAATTTTTATAAGAACACCCAATGGTCTTTGAAAAGATTTATCTCTAATAAGAATGCGACTGCCGTTTCTATCTAACATTGTCTAGGGAATATTGAATTCTGTGAAGCTACTGCGGAACTTTTCGTAACAAACTGGCTATCATCAGCAAATAGTTTCTAATTATTTTAACTAATTCTGGCATGTCGTTGATTAAGATCAAAAAAAGAAGAGTTCTTTGGGGTACACCACTCAGGACATCCGTCTAATCGGAGGAGAAATTTACAAGAACAACCCGCTGTTTACTATATCCAAAAAGACCCTGAGCCTGACCCTTTTAGTTTTCCAATTGCTGAGGTAAGTGAAACAGGCCAGTAATTTCAAAGATCAGTACGCAGTTCCTTTTTAAATAATGGCGTTATATAAGCAAGTTTCGATCCAGACGGTACTTGTCTAGAATCAATCGTCTTAATAAGTAGGAGAGAAAGAGGCACACAGAATTCTTTAGGGCATTTTTTTTAGCCATTTAGGATGGATTCCATCATTACTAGTGCCCTTTAAATGTCGAGAGCAGGTAAAAGTTGTCAATTTTGCAACAATTAAACTAGGAGCTAGAAACTGGTGAGCAAACAATATCGCTTTTTCGAAGAAAATCAGGAAAGTGGGAATGAGTTTCAGGTAAAAATTTTAAAAAATTGATTATTTAAGCAATTTGAAATAGACTTCTTAATTACTTATTGCGCTCTATCTTGATCAAAAAGAGATCGAATGTCACTTTTACAAGCTTTACGGCTTTTTATATAAGACTAAAACTTTTTTGGTCAAGACTTCGCTGTCTAACTTTAGTAAAGCAACAAACTCTTGTAAAGATAATCGCCCTAAACCTACTTACGCAATTTTGATCAAATTTTTTCATACAATACTCGATTTGATTTTTTAGTTGGCTGAGATTTTTACCTTTCCACTT